GGCTCAGCACACACTCCTCCTCTAGCTCCAGTATGGCACCCGGGCTCAGCACACACCCCTCTTCCACCTCCACATCCAGCTGACCCACCAGAAGGCTGAGCACATGCTCCTCCTCCTCCACCAGTGCCGCTTCCTCCTGAAGATCCACAGCATGAACTATGGAATGACTCTTCGTGAGTATAGTGTCCACCTGTACGTCCATCACATGAATCTCCAATTGGGCGCCCCCAGTAGTCTCGGGGTCCTCCTGAGGGGTTGTGGACACAGCACGTGGATCTCGGGTTCCCCCCTGGGCTACAGGTTGAGTGGCGGTAGCAATAGCACCGGTAATTATGGCCTCCTCTTCTAGGTATGTCACATCGAGCGTTGCAACGAGTCACACAGGAAGTGTTCTCGACATAGTGGAATGGTTTACGGCGATTGTCCAGCCAGGATCCTGCGGGGTCGTACCATGTTGAGTTCAAATTGAAGTAGGGCTCTCTTCCAGAAGAATAGATTCTTTCTTCTGACATCTCTGATGGACCTGAAAGAGGCAAAGACGTGTGCTCAGAAATAGCGACTGCCTCTTCCTTTACACACCAAAGCCACCAGTTGTCACCATCCAAATATCCCTGACTTGAAATTTGCCAATGCAGGTGTAAAAGTGAGATTGATTTCAGCAATCCATTTTAAACAGACAAAAAGTAGAATGGCTTTTAGACATTTGCTCAACAAAGAGAGAAAGAGAAAGAGAAAGAAAAAGAAAAAGAGACACATGAATTATTAGCTACTCCAGTATTTTCCCCAATCTTGATGAATTCTGCTAAACATTTCTACAAAATATTTATAATTTTGCAGTACATAGGAAGTGTAGTTGAGTGGTACTAGTGATAGATATCCATCTGTCAGACAAAGAACTAGCTTGCATCATTTTTCTCTTCTCCACAAAATAAATAAAATAATGCAAATGCTATCTATGTAATATTGTCTGTCAAGCTGAAGTCAATGAAATGTGATGCTTGCACATCTGTTGAAATAGCATAGCACAATGGACTGGCCTGGCATTCTTCTCCAGCCCTCCCTTCTCCTGCTCTGTAACCTTCCCTTTCTCACTTAACAACNNNNCCCCCCCCCCCCCCATGATTTTAAGCCTGTTATCCTTAAGCCATCTGTCCCAACGGGCTACTGTTCCTCACTGGAGCTCATTTATTGCCAGGCAGAAGCTGACTAACACTTCCCACAGAAGTTGGACTATCCATAAATATTCTCTTATATTGCAGTCGCTTGTCCACAGTTTAGTGGCCTGGTCCCAAGTGATGATCTCAGCCTGTGGAAGGACTACCAGCTTTGAGCTAACTTCTCTGGGCATCTCAGGTTCCATCATAAAACATCAACTGTATCCTGGCATGGCATCCATCACCTGCCCTTCCAATTCATGGCCCCCAAAGCCCCTAATGGCCTGAAACGTCCTCTACCCCAAGCATGGCCCCATGGAAGCTATCTCAGCCATCTTGCATCAGGGAGCTCAAGGACAGGTCCAGGTGGATGTGTCAAACACAAGTCCTTTGCAATCACCAGATCTTTCCTTGAAGCTCATTTCAGCTCAATTGCATGAGAGTATCTTCCCCTCCTTTCCCAGCTAACAGAAAAAAAATGAGCATTTTAATTTTTCATTGTGCAAATTTTCTCAACTGGAAAATAAGCATTTCTAAAGGGGTGTATTTTTGCCCACCAAGATGGTTCATGTACCACCCGACTGGTAGTTAATGTCCCAGAAGTCGAAGAGTAGCAAGAGAGAAGATCCTGTCACCATGAAATGAAGGTTTGCGGAGTCTTACCTTACTGAGTAGAGAAGACAGCCGAGGAAAGAAGGCAAGTGAATGAAGAGTCCAGGCCAGAGAGGCCCTTTATATATGATTTCAAAGAGTCCTGTTCCTGTAGATGATACAGAACCTTTGGAATTGTGGGTCAATCAAAAACCATGGGCCCAGAAGGACCATGTCTCTTAGCATCTGCTTCCTGACACATGATGGTTGAGTGGATCAAGATACACCTGATTGGCACTCACAGCAGCTCAGTGATGTAGCTGATAAGGCATGTTGCCTTTTAAAAGATCAAAGGACATTGTGGGAACACCGAGTGACACCGGATGGTGGAGCCTGGATGAATCATGAATAAAGGAACACTCTCTCCACATCGGCATCGCTGGAACCATGCTGGGTTCTTGCCTAAACCAATTTGTAATACCCTGTGCAAAGTGATAAGTTACCAGTGACAAGGGAATTAGTCATCCCAGTTCTTGTGGATCAACAGTAGAGCAGAATCTGAATGAATCCAGACAGGGGACACTCTCTAGGTGTTATTTTCAGAGCTGATCATCCCACCGCTGTTTAGGCAATCGCTAAAGCAGAAGATTCTACCAGCTCAACTCAAATAAAAGGTAAAGGTAAAGGTTTCCCCTTGACGTGAAGTCCAGTCATGCCTGACTCTCAGGGGCGGTGCTCATCTCCATTTCCTAGCCGAGGGAGCCAGCGTTTGTCTGCAGACAGTCTCCGTGGTCGTGTGGCTGGCATGACTAAACACCGAGGTGCACGGAATGCTGTTACCTGCCCACCGAAGTGGTACCTTCTTATCTACTTGCATTTGCATGCTTTCGAACTGCAAGGTTAGCAGGAGCTGGGACAGAGCAACGGAAACTCACCCCGTTGTGTAGATTCAAACCGACAACTTTTCGATCAACCAGCCCAACAGCACAGCAGTTTAAACCACTGCGCCACCTGCAGTCCCTCAACCCAAATACTGGACACCATTTTTCAGTTCTGAATATGACTGTTTAAGAACAGTTAAGATATTTTGGAAAGAATTCAGGGAAAAGCAGCGAAGATGATCAGAGGCATTTAGTTTTGAGAAGAGAAAACAGAAGGGAGATAAGAGACTAGTTTTTGAGTACCGGGGCATGGAGAGATTCACACAGGATAGGAGCACAACCTTTTCTCCATCACCCAAGATGCAAAATCATGGGCTAAAGATACAGGAAGGCAGATTTCAGTTGAATGTCAGGAAAAACCTCCCAATGGATGCATCAGTCAGATGATGGAATGAAACATCACTTCAGATGGTTTAACTAAGTGAAAATTTAATCTGCATTAAGGAACAGGGGGTTAGACTTGATGGTTTAAATGACCCAACTCAATGATTCCGTGACCTTCTGAGGCCATCTGTCCCAGTGTTGGGCAGATCATAGTACCAGCAGCCGCTGCTACCTCTCCTTCTCCTTCTCCTTCTCCTTCTCCTTCTCCTTCTCCTTCCCCTTCCCCTTCCCCTTCCCCTTCCCCTTCCCCTCTCCTTCTCCTTCTCCTTCCTTCTCCTCTTCCTCCTCCTCCATCTCGTTGCTGAAGTCCTTTCTTGAAATTTGACCTTCTTGATAAACATTTTATATTTTTTCTAACCTTGTCTGTCCCTTGTTATTATAATCAGGAAAAGAGAAAAATATTCTTCACTAAGCTGCAAAGCTAGGAGAATCTTCTACATTCTGGCAGGCCACCACACTTGGCTGATGCGGTACGTTCCATCTGGTGGGTTGCAGAACATGTGGACTTGTCCCTGGCCTCCTGTGTGAATCACCTGAAGAAACAGTAGATGTTGAACATGCACTTCTCCTTAGCCATCTAACCATTAGCACTTGCACAAGGTGTCGTTATTACACAGTATGGATTGGATAATGAGTAGCTAGGAAACATCAGAGCAATTAGTGGTACTGATAGAACTGATTGTACGCTCATGTGCGAAGCGCATACATCACATACTGGAATAGGAGCACATAGCACATGAATGCTATTAACCTACTTAGCTGTGAGGCATGTCAGGTTCTTCAGTGTTATGTGCTGGAGTGAATGATAATTCATGTTGAGAAAGAATGAGAAAGAAGTGGACAGTCCTTGGTGTTTCTTACCTTTCCTTTGCATTTCTGTCAGTTCCTTTTCTAAATGAAATCTAAATAGAGAAATAACAAAAAAGGAGGGCACTTGCGTGTCACAGAACAGAAGAGAAAGTTCTCCAGTGTCTGCACAAAACATTTCAATCATTTCTACACAGAACAGCTAGTGGGAGGATTCTTCTTTCAGTACAACTGAAGAAGGATTCTGAAGAAGAAGAACATGGAGCAAAATGAATATTTTCTTCAGGCACCTGAGCAGTTTCACTCTTCTGTTTCATGGCAAAATTTGTATTGCCATCACTTCCTCCATTGCTGAAGTTTGAATGTGAGCAGTGAATCTTCTATAAAACTATCCATGCGCAAGAGGCGGCATATCAACTGGGTTGGAGGGAACCCAGTTTGCGGAAGTACCAAAAAAGCTTTCTTGATGGGGGCAAAAAGCTCAGTGAGGACAAAACAAGCTCAGTGGTTATTATTATTATTATTATTATTATTATTATTATTATTATTATTATTATTATAACATTTCTATGCCGCCCCTTGCCGAAACCTCGGGGCGGCTTACAACACAATAAAATACATTGAAATACAATAGAACATAATAAATTACCATTAAATAAAAAAATACAAAAAATACATTGAGTTACAAATATAAAATTAAAATTATCAGTATAAAATAAGTAAATAAAAATATAGGAGGAGAAAGAGAAGGAAGAAGAAGTTGCCCTGGTCAGATCATATGTTTTAACAATTAAAATGATGTTTAAATAAAATGGTCTTTACCTGGCGTCGAAAAACCAGTAACGACGGTGCCAGGCGGACCTCTTTGGGGAGTGAATTCCATAGGTTGGGTGCCACCGCAGAGAAAGCCCTCCTTCGGGTACTTACTCTCCTAATTTCTTTCATGGAGGGTTCCCGGTTGTGAACATAATGGTTGTGGCATTCTGATTGACTATTGGGGGGAAATTGGGAAATCGGTGGGGGATGGGGGATTGAATAGTGTCTCCCGAAATAAAGCATGGCTGAGTGGAAACTCATCCAGGATCAATCCATGCTGTACTGTAGGTTCCACTCATTTTATTTTTATTCTTCAACTCCAACAAACCTTCCTGCTGTGGTGAAGGAAGATGCAGGACAGGGCTCTGTCCTGGGGCCGATCCTGTTTAATCTTTTCATCAATGACATGGAAGAAGGGGTGAACAGTCTGCTGATCAAATTCGCAGACGACACTAAAACTGGAGCAGTAGCCACAACTGAGGAGCAGGTACTCCAGATCCAAAAGGATCTGGACAGACTATAGAAACATAGAAACAGAGCAAGTAAGAAGGGGCCTCCCGAGTCATCTAGTTTTTATTTATTTTTATTTATTTATTAAAACATTTCTATGCCGCCCCTTGCCGAAGCCTCGGGGCGGCTTACAACACAATAAAATACAATAAAATACAAAAATAACAATATAAAATTAAAATTAACAATGTAAAATAAATGACATACAGGAATGTGAGGGGGTGTCACACGGAGGTGGGGAGAGACCTGTTCTCCCCTGCAGAGGAAGGCAGGACATGCTCCAACAGAGCAAAGCTCAGGGAGCCAAGG